GCAATTATAGTTATAATTTTTATTACTTTTAAAGCATGTAACTGCTTGATGTTTAAATCTAAAGAAAATATAACTAGGAAAAAAATTCCACGCGGACCAGGCAGCAGACGGGACTCGAACCCGCACCCTTCGCAATCCGGGCGAATGCACTGACCAATTATGCTACCGCGGCCCTCACGGACCGCGTCGAAATTCTTTCTAGCTATTCTTAAGCTGCAAGGCAGCGCCATCTCTTCGCATTATAGGTAAGCCCACAATGTCAAATGAATACTTTTACAAGTATTAAACATTTGAAAGAAGAAATAGCAATTATAGTTATAATTTTTATTATTTTTAAAGCATGTAACTGCTTGATGTTTAAATCTAAAGAAAATATAACTAGAAAAAAATTCCACGCGGACCAGGCAGCAGACGGGACTCGAACCCGCACCCTTCGCAATCCGGGCGAATGCACTGACCAATTATGCTACCGCGGCCCTCACGGACCGCGTCGAAATTCTTTCTAGCTATTCTTAAGCTGCAAGGCAGCGCCATCTCTTCGCATTATAGGTAAGCCCACAATGTCAAATGAATACTTTTACAAGTATTAAACATTTGAAAGAAGAAATAGCAATTATAGTTATAATTTTTATTATTTTTAAAGCATGTAACTGCTTGATGTTTAAATCTAAAGAAAATATAACTAGAAAAAAATTCCACGCGGACCAGGCAGCAGACGGGACTCGAACCCGCACCCTTCGCAATCCGGGCGAATGCACTGACCAATTATGCTACCGCGGCCCTCACGGACCGCGTCGAAATTCTTTCTAGCTATTCTTAAGCTGCAAGGCAGCGCCATCTCTTCGCATTATAGGTAAGCCCACAATGTCAAATGAATACTTTTACAAGTATTAAACATTTGAAAGAAGAAATAGCAATTATAGTTATAATTTTTATTATTTTTAAAGCATGTAACTGCTTGATGTTTAAATCTAAAGAAAATATAACTAGAAAAAAATTCCACGCGGACCAGGCAGCAGACGGGACTCGAACCCGCACCCTTCGCAATCCGGGCGAATGCACTGACCAATTATGCTACCGCGGCCCTCACGGACCGCGTCGAAATTCTTTCTAGCTATTCTTAAGCTGCAAGGCAGCGCCATCTCTTCGCATTATAGGTAAGCCCACAATGTCAAATGAATACTTTTACAAGTATTAAACATTTGAAAGAAGAAATAGCAATTATAGTTATAATTTTTATTATTTTTAAAGCATGTAACTGCTTGATGTTTAAATCTAAAGAAAATATAACTAGAAAAAAATTCCACGCGGACCAGGCAGCAGACGGGACTCGAACCCGCACCCTTCGCAATCCGGGCGAATGCACTGACCAATTATGCTACCGCGGCCCTCACGGACCGCGTCGAAATTCTTTCTAGCTATTCTTAAGCTGCAAGGCAGCGCCATCTCTTCGCATTATAGGTAAGCCCACAATGTCAAATGAATACTTTTACAAGTATTAAACATTTGAAAGAAGAAATAGCAATTATAGTTATAATTTTTATTATTTTTAAAGCATGTAACTGCTTGATGTTTAAATCTAAAGAAAATATAACTAGAAAAAAATTCCACGCGGACCAGGCAGCAGACGGGACTCGAACCCGCACCCTTCGCAATCCGGGCGAATGCACTGACCAATTATGCTACCGCGGCCCTCACGGACCGCGTCGAAATTCTTTCTAGCTATTCTTAAGCTGCAAGGCAGCGCCATCTCTTCGCATTATAGGTAAGCCCACAATGTCAAATGAATACTTTTACAAGTATTAAACATTTGAAAGAAGAAATAGCAATTATAGTTATAATTTTTATTATTTTTAAAGCATGTAACTGCTTGATGTTTAAATCTAAAGAAAATATAACTAGAAAAAAATTCCACGCGGACCAGGCAGCAGACGGGACTCGAACCCGCACCCTTCGCAATCCGGGCGAATGCACTGACCAATTATGCTACCGCGGCCCTCACGGACCGCGTCGAAATTCTTTCTAGCTATTCTTAAGCTGCAAGGCAGCGCCATCTCTTCGCATTATAGGTAAGCCCACAATGTCAAATGAATACTTTTACAAGTATTAAACATTTGAAAGAAGAAATAGCAATTATAGTTATAATTTTTATTATTTTTAAAGCATGTAACTGCTTGATGTTTAAATCTAAAGAAAATATAACTAGAAAAAAATTCCACGCGGACCAGGCAGCAGACGGGACTCGAACCCGCACCCTTCGCAATCCGGGCGAATGCACTGACCAATTATGCTACCGCGGCCCTCACGGACCGCGTCGAAATTCTTTCTAGCTATTCTTAAGCTGCAAGGCAGCGCCATCTCTTCGCATTATAGGTAAGCCCACAATGTCAAATGAATACTTTTACAAGTATTAAACATTTGAAAGAAGAAATAGCAATTATAGTTATAATTTTTATTATTTTTAAAGCATGTAACTGCTTGATGTTTAAATCTAAAGAAAATATAACTAGAAAAAAATTCCACGCGGACCAGGCAGCAGACGGGACTCGAACCCGCACCCTTCGCAATCCGGGCGAATGCACTGACCAATTATGCTACCGCGGCCCTCACGGACCGCGTCGAAATTCTTTCTAGCTATTCTTAAGCTGCAAGGCAGCGCCATCTCTTCGCATTATAGGTAAGCCCACAATGTCAAATGAATACTTTTACAAGTATTAAACATTTGAAAGAAGAAATAGCAATTATAGTTATAATTTTTATTATTTTTAAAGCATGTAACTGCTTGATGTTTAAATCTAAAGAAAATATAACTAGAAAAAAATTCCACGCGGACCAGGCAGCAGACGGGACTCGAACCCGCACCCTTCGCAATCCGGGCGAATGCACTGACCAATTATGCTACCGCGGCCCTCACGGACCGCGTCGAAATTCTTTCTAGCTATTCTTAAGCTGCAAGGCAGCGCCATCTCTTCGCATTATAGGTAAACCCACAATGTCAAATGAATACATTGTGGGCTTACCTATAATGCGAAGAGATGGCGCTGCCTTGCAGCTTAAGAATAGCTAGAAAGAATTTCGACGCGGTCCGTGAGGGCCGCGGTAGCATAATTGGTCAGTGCATTCGCCCGGATTGCGAAGGGTGCGGGTTCGAGTCCCGTCTGCTGCCTGGTCCGCGTGGAATTTTTTTCTAGTTATATTTTCTTTAAATATATATATTTTTTGTGTGTAATTTTTAGGAATAGGTTTCATTATATTGTTATTTGATAAGTTCATCATATGATTTTGATTATTTCATTACTAGCACCGCCCTTTACCTAACATTTAACTAACTTAAGTTTTTTGAGTATTCCACAGAAACCTAACTTACGGACCACCTGATGTAAAGAGGTCACCGTCGCCCATGGACATCAGCAATACCAGTGACACATCCACGCTGCTGCATTTTGTCACTCTATTTAAGCCTTTCTTGAAGAGGATCATGTTATTGTACTGAGGGAACACATTGGAGGGGAGCTCATTCAATGATTTTATTGTCCGTGGAGTAAAAGATCCCTGGAAACGAACAGTTGTGGATTTCAGTGTTTTCAGGTAATATGGATGAACTCGACTCCAGTGACGGATGGTGCGGTGGTAAAGTGGTGCTGTGGGTATTAACTAGAACAAGTCCTCGGAGCATTCACCATGAAAGATTTCACATTGTTAATCCCGGTCGGAAAAATAGGGGGAAAAAAAGACATTACTACTCATCATCATTTAAATGACAAAACATTGTCTGTGCTGCAGTCCTGATCCACGAGTAGTGGTAGGCAACATCCATGTACACCACAATGCTCTTGTTGACGTTAGGGTACCTGTGGGATACCAGCCCTATCTGGATGAAGTCGTCCACCACAAGGGCGCTGCCAGAATCGCCTCTGAAAATAAATCTGAGTCAATGAAATGACCTAAGGAACAAAGTCTGAGAAGAATATTTTACTAGAAAAAATACACGCGATACAGGCAGCGTATACGGGACTGGAACCCGCGCCCTCCGCTATCAGGGCGAATACACTCACTTCTAGCAGTTAAATGCTTACAATTTTTAATCATAATAAAGAAGTCTAAGAAACTAAAATGAAACAAAACCAAAAACAACGTTATTGCTAACTTTAATATAGCTAATATATTCTGACGATAAACCCGAAAGAAGTAATCCTACTAATAGAGGTAAACTCGTGCTAAAAGTGTCGATCTCAGCTTGAGCTCCAGCTATAGAGGTTTCTCACTTAACCAGGTCCATCTTCACGTATAATAAACTAAATATTTTAGAAGCAAACTCGAAAATATTACAATGATACATAAAATTAAGATATTGTGTAGGTATCTATCTACGTGAAGATTATTGACTTAAGATTGAAGAAGCGCATACAGTAGTTATGAAAGAAAAATTAACTATAAAAAAATAAAACTGTCAGAAACGTTTAATAACAATAGCAGTTTTTCTGGTGAGTCTCAAGGGGCCTGGTGTTTACAAAGTAGAAACCAAAATAAAAGCAAGGCAATCAAAACACGAAAACACGATTAAAAACGAAAACAAGTTTATAAACAAAAAAACCAAAGCAAAGACTAGGTGCTAGTTTTTGTAAAAAATCTGAAACCACTACTAAGAATTATGATTTATACTAACCCAGCAACATAAGTGTCCTTTGAATGCATGCCACAGATGGTACCCCGTGGTAACCTACCCAACATCTCTGTGCATTGTTTTCGCTTCAGCACAGTCTGTGTTGTGTACATCAATACGGATGTTCCGATGTTATTGATGTCCTTAATCAGGAAAAAAATATTTTTTTGTTAATCATAGTCAAAATCTAGTCTATTCTGCCGCGGATATATTTTTATTTCTGAGAATAAAAGCGATTCAATATATCGCAACCTCTAAATTATCCGAACAAATAAAATTGCTAAACAGACTGACATAAAAAGCTCTAAAACGGTTATCTCTCTCACATCTATCTTACCCCATCCTGCGACGACGGCTTCTCCTCGATTCGGAGGCTTTTTCATGATGGCCACCCGACTTTTGTTTTTATCCAAATTCAATGGAGTTCGCAGCACCACGAGCCCTATATCGTTTACTGAATCCGCAATATCGTAACCTTTGTGAATCATAATGGCTGATGCGAAAAATGTTTTCCCTCGGTACCTGTTGCGGTGACCCACTACTATATTCAGAGTTGTGACGGTACATCCGTCAATGCAGTGCGCGGCCGTCAAAAGGATGTGCTGATTCAGTATTGACGCTCCACAAATCCAGCTCGAGGTATCGCAGCATGTTAACCTTAAAAATGCTGAATGTGGATGGTGATGTAAATAAGCAGGTTCGCCTCCCACGATGAATCCTTCCATTGTTGAATGCGCTTTCATAGAAAGAGTAGCCAATATTAAGAAACATGCATAAGATAGCTCTGAACATTTCATTATGAGCGCTGCCACAGCTGATACTACCTTCCTAAGGACATAAAATATAGTGATTCGGCCACGGTTTATAACTTTTAATTATACTGTTTAAATTACGGTTAGTTGGTGTACCTAATACAGATTTGATGACCAATTACCTGTGTATAGGTTTATTGTCGTACGGCTGATACCAGAGTCGGGGCTGTTACCTGGTCACTGTCGATTGCTTTCTCGAATGCACGTTACGCATGCAAAATTATCATTCCCAAACGTTTTATAAAAACAGTTTTCAATATTAACAATTGTTAATCTAAAAGGATTGTAGGATAACTTTCGGCACTGAATTCATTATTTTCCAATACCATATACCTCCTTTTATTTATTTTTTAAATAAGCATTAATAACGTTCAAGGACTCCATTGGAATAAGAACTCAATGAATAAAATTTTTCACTATCGGGGCGGCCGCGTCTATACACTTTTCATATATAAAGTAATCACAACATTCAAAAAAGGGTAAGATCTTATTAACCTCTTAATAAATGCATTTTCTTACACCTAATAAATAATAATGTGTGTTACTAAAATAGCTGATGTGTCACTTATATTGAATCCCCAAACAATGTAAAAATGTTTATCTAAATCTAATTTATAATCATTGAAATACAGTAAAACATCAATAAATTCGCCTAAAACTCTATCACATAATATATAAGTAGATTAAACTACCATAGGGTTTCCGTTTTCTGAAAAAGGATTCAATATATAAAACTGAACGGAAATCTGTAAACAGTTTTGGGAAAAGACTTTTTCTGGCGCGGCCGCGGCACGCTCGCTACGCTCGCTCGGTTCGAGACTTTTGGTCCTAACTTTGACATAAACTAACCGTGCGATTTCTTTGTTAAATAACTATATAAGGCTAGGCTAAGGCTATAAAAGAACAATCCCAAAACTAGCATTTTACTCAATTCTTTAGGCAAAACAGCGGTTAAGATCCTTAAATTTTGACAGCCCGCCAATTTGACACTTCTCTTATTAGCGTTTCTTCATTAATTTAAAGAACTGATCCATTTATTCAGTGACCGATCTATTATTTTTCTGAATCAATTTATATTAGCTGCACGTGACTTACTTTTTTAGGACCTTACGACGCTGTAGTAAAAAGTGATCAATCTTTACTTTGAGATTTATATTAAGATTTATTTAATGATTTATAATTAGTGACCGTTTTGATTCCTATGGTGACTAAAATATTTTTCGGATTATCCTATATAATATCTATATATTACAGGATTATTCAGATTAATGATACATCAAAACTTAGTTGGCAGAAAATATGCTAGAACACACTTGCAATAGGGGTGATGACGGGGTACGGTAAACGAAATTCTATTTAGTCCGTCAGTTAGATGATCAAAAAATAATAGACACGTATTTTTTCTTTGGGCAATCAACCAAAAAATGACAAAGTTAAAGCGCGTCAAAGTTTGGGAGTAGGGGCTCGTGACATCACTTTTGAGTGAATTTTCACCTTATAAGTGTACTCAAACGTGACGTCATGCGACCTTTCAAATCAATATATCACTGTAATGTTTATATTATGTGAAAAAAGAAAAAATATGTGTCCAATACTTTTTGATAATCTACCTGATAAACGAAGAAAAAAATTATTATTAGTCATCATCCCTATTAAATGCAGTGCAATAGTTGTGCGCACATAAATTTAAGTAAATTTTCGCCTAGCCCCCATTCGCGAAATCCGTACCATCCGAAAAGTAACTTCGTTCCAAAGGAGATTGCTCAGCTTCCATACATGTTTGGCCTAAAGACCAATAATCATGAAAAATTGTTTCCTAGATTCGAAATTATATATAAATTACTGTAGAAACGAATGTTATTGACGGACACCCCTGAGAACTTCTATAAACCATATACACTGAACATATTAAAATAATAAAAAACAAATAAGTTATATAGTAAACTAGGGAAATCAAGCCAAGTACCGAAATAATGGATTAGATTCAGGTATATAGAGCATGTAGATTAACAGATAGTTGCCTGTTTTTAAAGTTAATGCATAAAAGTAACTTTTAAAATCAGGTGTCATTTCCGGTTATAATAAGGTACTCTGTGACAGAAACTGTGTGATGATTGTGAATGAGCCACAGATTAGAGAGAATTTTTAAACTCTCGTTAACCAAAGAAAGCTAAGAGATTTAGGTTCTATAGCCATATATTCAGTAGCTTCATTATTTTTGTTATGTTTTTAAGATAACCATAATTTAGATTTTTAGTGTATCACACCTTATAATTTTATTTATTTATTAATTTATAGTCAGGGAACGTAGGCCCATAGATAGATACCTTAAAGTCTAACATATATACAGATTATAATGTGTTTATAGAGGTGTTTGGCGAACAATGTATGGCAATAGACTTTATGATGTCGCCTACCATCTATAATAATTGTCTGAGCACATTTGCATCTAGTGAAAATGATAATATAGTGGTGGATATTAATACCACAGTGTGATAAAAAAAATGATTTATTTTATCGATCTTTACAGAATAGATTTGTTTTTATGTTATATAAACAACTTCGATCAGTCTTTGGCTGAATGTTACTACACCCATAGCCATTAAAAATGATTCGTATGTTTTCCAAACCGGTAAAATTAAAAGTCCTTTTTAAAGTAAATATATTATACAAAGGTGTCCGTTGAAATCTAATGACTGTAAATTAAATTATAAATTACGCCAAGAATTACCGTGTATGTCAATATTTTTTGTGCATTTAGGCCAATTTGAGCAATCTCCTTTACCATAGAAATCTATTGTAAAAAACTACCCTAGTGGGAGAAAACTACTATATGTAGCTACTATAAAAAAATACTATACTATAAGAGAGAGAAAACAACTTTTTCTTCGTCTAGTCCGTTAAGTCCGTACTGACCGAAAAGGAACTTCGTTCCAAAAATCAACTCCCCCGCAGTAAACCAAACAAAAATTAACGCTTATGCAATTTCACTGTCATTATGCCACCTTATTGGGAGAGCTGAGCTTTTTCAAGTACATAATATTTATAATCTGATTATGGAATGTATGAGATTTTAGGCTCTCTACCTCCCTTGCCCCATAAAGATTGTGGTAGAAAAACTTTATACATCCAATGTAAACTTTGGCTTTTTAAGTAGTTATGAAAATAATATGGCGTGAAAATTAGATCATATGTTTAATGTGAGTCTTCATACTAATATTTTACAAAAACTTCCTTTCATCATTAATTAGTAACGTGGTATTGGACAAAACATATTTTTCTTCCTGTTGAATTAACTCAAACGCATAATATCTATAGAAAACTCAAGTAAAGTTATTCAATTTATTTTCCTGCCATGCAAAACATATTGTTTGTCGAGGTCACGATCCAATCGTAGAAATGCCTGACTTCCGTGTAGATGACGAGGCTGTTGGACTTTCTGGGTATCTTGTAGGAGACGATGCCGACCTGGACGTAGCCTCGCACCACCAGCGCGCTGCCGGAGTCACCCCTGATACGGACACGAACGAAGTTTATTTAAAATAATAGGGGTGATGACGGGGTACAGTAAACGAAATTCTATTTAGTCCGTCAGTTAGATGATCAAAAAATAATGGACACGTATTTTTTCTTTCGGCAATCAACCAAAAAATGACAAAGTTATAGCGCGTCAAAGTTTGGGAGTAGGGGCTCGTGACGTCACTTTTGAGTGAAAATTGTACTTGTTTAATTGTAAAACGTGACGTCATGTAAATTTTCAAATCAATATATCTCTGGAATGTTTATACTATGTGAAAAAAGAAAAAATACGTGTCCAATACTTTTTGATAATCCAACTGATAAACGAAGAAAAAAAAATTAGTCATCATCCCTATTTAAGACAAACAATTCATGTACCCCATATCAGTTTTGGCCTTGTAGGCCACGGCAGAAGCCTTTGAAAATGGTAAAATGTGAAAGAAAAATCAGCCTGTTCTGAATTTCATTACGTTCAAAATTTTTCAGCCTCTTGCGCAGCGGTGACAAAACATGCCGTTCGTGGCGCAGATGCGGGAGAAATGATTAAAATCAATAATTTGCACTTCTAACTTTCTCATTTATTTTACTTTTCTTAAACTGATTTCTGAACACTTTTTATTTACAATTGAAATTTAAAAAGTGCAGGCCGCTTTTCGAGACATGCCGCACTTAATGATATCATACGCCGGTCCCTTGCCACTGTCAACGTGCCAAGTCTACTTGAGCCGACTGGTATTGCAAGAGACGATGGCAAGAGACCAGACAGTATGAGTTTGATTCCATGGAAGATGGGTCGGGTGCTGGTATGGGATGCAACCTGTTCAGACACGCTGGCCCCTTCCCATCTACATGGGACCAACAACAGAGCTGGTGCGGCTTGTGAAGCGGCTGAAAAAACAAAAGCAAGCAAATACAGGAGTCTAGGCTCCGAATATGATTTTGTTCCATTCGGTGCCGAGACCCTTGGTCCGTGGGGTCCTAGCGCTTTAAGGCTATTTAAGGAGGAGCTCGATGGCGCAGGTGGTTAGTGCATTCGGCTGCGATCGTTGAAGTTAAGCGATTTTCGCAGTGGTCGGTCATTGGATGGGTGACCAAAAATCTTCGATCTCGAGTTCTTCCGTGCTTCGGAAGGCACGTTAAGCCGTTGGTCCCGGCTGCATTTGCAGTCGTTAGCACCCACCAATCCGCACTGGGCCCGCGTGGTGGGACATGGCCCAATCTCCCTATTCCATCCATAGGATAGGAAGGCCTGTGCCCCAGCAGTGGGGACATTAATAGGCTGCTGATGATTGAAATATAACACCACTTACTCGGCGGCATAATTCGTTCCCGAGTTCTTGGGGCCAGCGCAGAAGCTTCCCACTGGCACGTCTCTCAATATCTTCATGCAGTCG